GAACCAACAGCAGAATTGCATCACGAGATTCACCAAATAAGAACACACCGAGAGTTCATAATTGACAATGCTGAAATAGTCCCATCATCATCGACAAAGAACCAGAGTTGATATCCTATCTGGCGCTCGGCGCCCAGACTACATGTGGCAGATCCAATCTACCCTATACTACGATGCCGAAAGATGACGTCAACAGCATTCACGAAGTACGAGCATATGGCGACCAATGTCGCACGCTTCCAGCACCAGGTATGTCTCTCGCCACACTCACAACCTCGTTCCCCAACACACAGATGCCACTAGCACCCAAGGACCACCCTGCGCCTCACCCAGCTTACAGCAGTGCAGCTCGGCTATGGCTGCGTGCTCCTTCCCTGCTCACCCGTGAGAGCGTAGGCCGCAGCCAGCAAATAGCGCAGCAGCGCTTGCGCAGCATGCAGCCAGCACCCGAATGCCGAATACGGAGGCAGGCCCTTTGCTATATCGAAGTGGCCTGCCTGCGTCCAGTCCCAGGAAGCTTCCAGTAGGCCCCGGTAGCCTGAGGCCCAGCACGACGAAAACAGGCCTTGGGCTTGAGGTGGTTGCATGTGCCCAACCGCCTTTGATATGGGTTTGGCCCAGTACCCGTATCCAGCCCAGGGCCTGCTTCACATACATTCGCACAGGCGGCCCAGGGCCTAGGTTCACTCAACCAACTGGCGCTGCGCAACTGCCTGAATTTCCCTGAGTTGCGTGGTAGCCAGAATAGGGCCCTGAGGGACTCGTCGAGCCTGCCTTCACTCAGGGCGGCCGACGGGCTGCAAAATGGGGCCTTATGGGGCTCATAGTGGCAGTGGCCTCGCATTCCCTCCTCCTTAGCTTCAACAGTCCTCTGAGAAGCTCAGTCTTCGACCATCGGGCGCTTCCCCTTCTGCAGAGATTTCTCATAATGGGCTACAACTTGAGGAGCGGTCTGCATGAGTTCTTCCCTCGTGAACCAACGGTCCTCCTTGGGATCAGTATGATGTCTGAACCAAACGCGGTACTGCAGCTTCGGCTTCGGACGTCCTGCCCTGTGATCCACGATGTCATCGATGTCCACTTCTCCATCCGTGGTTGGGGGCAGCATTGAGCGACGAGAAGGAAACTCATCTGTTTCCTTGAAAGGTGCAAGCTTGGAGGCGTGAAAGACAGGGTAAGTTCGGAGATGACCAGGGATCCGAATAACATAAGATGGCCCATCCGGATCTGTCCCAACGATGTCCAACACTTCCCAGGGTCCAAAGTATTGGGGCATGAGTTTGCGGGAAATCCCGTGCTCCTGTCCCAGTTCTGAAGACTTAACCCAGACTCGGTCCCCAACCTGAAACGTAGAAGGACGGCGGTGTCTATTTTCAGACTCTATCATTGCCGCCTGCGCCTTTTGCATCTGTTCTACAACCTGCTGCATCTTTTGTTCATATCGATAAGCAAATGCTAAGGTACCTGGTGCAGCAGTGGTCTGATTCTCAGGAAGAAGAAAGTCTAAGGGCAGTCTAGGCTTGAAAGTTAGCAGTAAGCTGTTTGGGCTCACCCCGGTGGCACTGTGTACAGCGTTGTTGTACAAGCTGGCGATGAGAGCAAGCTTCTCATCCCAGTCCACCTGGTTGGGCTTGATGTAGTGCCTCAACAGGTCTTGTACAGCGCGATTCAGTTGCTCAGCCTGTCCATTGGCCTCTGGGTGATTCCCAAAAGTCATCTGCAACTGAGTGCCCTGCTCTGCGGCAGCGACCTTCCACAACTCGCTGGTAAACCGGACATCCCTGTCACTGACAATAGACTTCGGTAAATCAAAGTCTCTAACCCAGTTCTATTTGAACATTCGGATCACATACTCCGTTTTTGCTGTTTCCGACATTGCTACTAACCTAGCATACGTACTAAATCTATCCACAATGACATAGATATAACGCATTCCACTCTTGTTGGTAATCAGAGTATCCATGAAGTCCATGGACAGACTCTCACCAGGCCTTTCCGGAATCGGAAGCGGCTTCAAGAGCCCAAGAGGAGCCTGAGTACGTGGCTTGTCCCTTTGACAGACGTGACAAGTCTCCACGTACAGCTTCGCATCTTTCATCATAGTGGGCCACCAGAACTTCTGCAGCAGATTGGCTGCAGTCTTCTTAAAGCCAAAATGCCCGGTGGCATCGTGACATCCCTATCCCTTCCCTATCCCTTCCCTATCCCTTCCCTATCCCTATACTCTTAAAGACTACAAAGGGCCCAGCGTGACGCCCTGTGCTGGGCCCAGCGGAAATCAGTTTGGAGGTCGACGGCCCGGGCGGGACAGAGGGCGAAGGGTGCCGCAGGATCGCGGACGAGAATTTTTGGGAGGCGCAAATCTTTTCGGAGGCCGACGGCCTGAGCGGGACTGAGGGCAAAGGGTGCCGCGGGATCGCGAACGAGAATTTTCGGGAGGCTCAACGGGGGCC